CAGGGAAGCTGTTCTTGGGCTAATATAGGTCCAGCTGATCAGAGGGAGGAAAGGGCAGAGTGGTTTGATGAATGAACTCTTCCTTGCAGTCCTATTCGCTCGTAGAAATAGAACAGAGAGAGGCTCGGGTTAAACGAAATCGTTGCACAGGGACTCGGTTGGTCGTAGAAATGAAAGATATTTTTTATTAATTTTATTTCCATCCGGTCCTAATTTATTTGATTTATTTCGTATTCAATTGATAACGTTGTTTAATATTTTCAGGAAGGTTGGATTAATTTAATTATCACTTATAATTATGTTTGTTTGTACTTAAAAGCTACAACTTGTCTTTTTATAAATTACGTTTAATAAAAAAAGTAACTTAAAAGTCGACAAGAGTCATCATTTAACCATTATCATAGTAAAAAGAAGATGTTGATAGATTATAAATCCTCAACTTTATCCGCTAATCTTTCAACAATATATAGAAAAATGTCAACATGCATGAGCTACCTTTTGTCAAAAGTTGACAATGAAAATTTGATTCAATTAAGATTATGGCTGTGATAATTATTAATCTGATTAACTTTAACATCATGGATTACACGTCATTTTCACGTTTCGAAATTATGTGTACATCTTAAGATTAAAAACGGATAGACCTTAGTTGTAGTCAGTATGAACGATATAGACGATAATTCCTCCAATTTTGCGTGCAATTTGGGAAATTATTGACACCAAGAATTTTTGATCGAATATGCTTTTGAAGGCGGCTGTTTAAGTAATAATGAAATTTTTATAAGTGTCCCCACAACTTTGTGCATTTTATCGATTTGCTATGATATTTTTTTAGGTTTCATCAATTATTAAATGGATGAATTGATGGAATTTAATAGTCTGATAATGAGTTGTACAAAATAATATTCAATTATTAAGGGATAATTGCAGTAGAAATTCCAAACCTTTCAAATACTTGTAAACTTTATTTATTTATTAATTTTTTTTCATGTAATTTTTTTCATTATTTATTGTGATAAATATAAGAATAATATTTTACCCTTTTGAAATTATATATAAAAAAAATTTAACTTAATTTGTTGGTCAACTAGCAGAATTATGGATGTAATTCATCCATTTGGGTTTCAGCTATTGCGGTTTGAAAGATTAGGGATGACGGCTACAATGATTGAAAGGTAATGGGAAGTCTACAAGTATTTTAAAAGGTTTGGGGCCTCTATTGCAATTATCCCAATTATTAATGGTATTTTGCACACCAATTTTGACCACTACCCTCAATTTGCTTTTTTCAAGGAATCGGAATTATCGGATTGCTGATAAAGATGTAGTACAATATCTTTCAAATAATTAAATCATTTATACCTTGTTTAATCATTATTTTCAAAATACGTACTTCTCTCTGCTTTTCAACAATTCAATAAAATAATATTACACGCAAATTCAAAATGTATTCTTTTACAAAAATAAGGCTCAAACATACTCTTGGAACCTGTTTGGTGCACATTAAAATGAGAAAATGTATTTTTTTGAAGTGATGTGATGGAGAATATGTGATTGAAAAAGAAAGAAAAATTATTGATGTGATGCAAAATATTATTTTATTAAAGAATGTGTGGTTGAAAATGAGAATTAATTTACTATAAAATTTTGAGAATTCCTCCCAAACAGGGCGTTAATATACAACTAGTCATGTTATTTCGAATACACAGAAAATGACAACATAATGGAGCAATAACACAATAGCACAATAAGGGTTGTTGAAGGGTTGATGAAGATACAATTGAGTCATACAATATAACACAATAATATTTAACAAAACTGTGTTTCAGACTGAAGTTCAAAGAATCTGGCTCTTTATACACCAGCCAACCCAAATCTCTCGAATGAAAAGTTGAAAATAAGAGAGAAAACAATATATTTTAAAAATAATGAATACCAAACGGGAGCTAAATATTTGAAGGAGGCTTTTCGGTTCTTCCATTTTTGTAATTCTAAAAATTAAAAGTTTCATTTTTTTTTTCTTTTAATAACTAGGTTATCAAATGTCAATATAAAAAAGAAGACTTGTTAAAAGTCTTCATTCCTTGCAAACAAAGGTTTCCCTTAAAATCAAAAGTCTTGCAGTCTCCACGCCAATCAAATCTTTTTTGCTTCACGGTTTCATTGGATGCCTTTCAGACATGTGAAGAAGACCGTAATATTTGACAAAAACTCAAAAAGAAAACAAACTCATTTCATGATACGCAATACTTTATAGGACAATATATATAATATATAAAATCAAAGAATTTTTTCCGCTTCATGGACCATGAGGCACTGAAGCGCCTTCCTAGTCATGATACTTTATTAGCCCACCATGCAACTTGGGCTGGGCTGGGCTGGGCTGCGAAGTTGCAGCAATTCACTTTCGTGATTCATCACAAATCTGGCGTTTCTAATGCTCTGAGCCGATGCCACTCTTTGTTGGCTACCCTCATTGTTGAGGTCACTGGCTTTGACTTTTTCGCTTTGATATGCTACTAGGATAACTTTTTTGGTCTTAAGTCTCTCTGATGTGAGTGCTGGGTTGTCTGCTGATTATGTATTGTGAATTCTTTTTTGGAATGTTCTGATTTTCAGCTTTGTATTCCTTACTTTAGTATGCGTCGGAAAATTTTGGAGGGTCTTACTGTGCTGGCCACTTTGGACGCATGCCGTCATTGCCGGGCTTATTTGAGTCGAGTCGACCCTTCCATGTGATGTTTACTTCCTCGTGGCTAGGTGTCGAATCTGCCAGATGGCCAAGGGCCAGGCTTCTAATGCTGACATTTATTTGCCTATTCTTGTGCACGTCAACCATGGATTGACATCGTCACATTAACATGAATTTTGTTGATGGATTGCCACATACTCAACGGTTTTGGAAGACAATGGAGAATAGGAGAAGATGAAGATGGAAACACCAAATGAAAATGATTGTAAGACTTGAACAAGTTTTAAAATGTATCATCAAACGATACTTGTCTCCTCTCAAAATGTTATTAAGGATTTCCTGCAAATAGTTTGCATGATTTTATCAAAGTCTAAAGGAAAAATATCAAAGCACAAATAATCCTTCCAATAAAATTAATGGAAACATTAAAATAGTTTGAATATGATTTTGATGATTTGGAATAACACAGTATTGATTTCTTGTTGTTGATTGTATTTAGAAATGAAAATCGGTCTCCTACTTATAGACTTTCATTCATATACCACGAAATGATTCCAACAATCCATCAACCTTTACGGTTGGTTTTCAAAACCATGCAATCGCATGGGAATTGCATGGCTATTGGCAAAATGCCTCAGTTTCTGCTGGTAAGGCTCATGCAAAAGCATGGGCAACCCAATTGCTCCCAAATTATGTAAGGGACACTTGCACAAATACCCTATATTTTGGGGTAACTTTGAAAGAAAATGATAAACTTTGATTAAATGGAAAATAGTTAAAATTGAATGTATATTTTACAGTCAAACATAATGCACGACAGTTTCTCAAAAATCAGTCCACCAATCTCGAAAAATAGTAAGGAAATGAGGAAATCTTCCACAAATCAAGAACAAACAAGACCAATATTGCTTCAACTACCATTCTTCAAAGTTCTCTTTCCCAAATCTAGAAATATCAAACAAAAATTACATGTTTTTGATGTTTTGGATTTTTTTTAATTAGTTCCCAATTATGTTATTTTAAGATTGTTTAATGCTCTCTTTACATAGATTTTGAAAGCAGCTGTAGTAATTATCTATTTCGAGTTAAATAAACCCCCATTTACAAATTCTAATCATCTTATTGCAATTTATGTATCATTTTTCTTTGAATTTCGTGATTAGTTTAGTTTGAATCATATAATGTATTTCTTTTTTCATGGTTTTGCTATTGTAACTGGAAAAATATTTGGAAATAACATTGTTGATTTTGAGAGGAAATTGATTGTGTTAAAACACAATTGCTCCAACTTTAACCATGAAGTAGCTACTGAACTCTCATTCAAAACGTCCTGAAAAATGATATTCGACAGATGAAGATGAATTTGAGAATTTACCTTCTTATCCTTCGATATTTTCTCCTCCACGGTCAAAGTTGAATGAATTAAATTGATGTATGCAAGGTGTTTGAGAAATAGTGAATGTGTGTCACTTTTCTGTAAAAAAATTAAAGTTAAAGTATTTCATTGAAACAATTAATTAGACGCAATACATGTTTATTTTTTGAAATTTAAATATATGGATTCAAACTTTATTTTACATTAATACATATGAAAAATTAATTTTCAATCAATTCAATAGATGCATGAAATGTGTTTGCGAAAAGAATGTGTGTGCGCGCATTTATAGAAATTTAAATAAACAAATTCAAACCATGTTTTATATTCATACATATGAAAAAATAATTTTGAATCAATTTAATAGATGCATGCAAGGTGGTTGCGGACAGGAGAATGTGAAGAAGTGATATTTTATTAATTTTCTATATTAAAAAATTACATTCTGTCACTTTTCTCTAAAAAAAAAGTCACGGTATCTCATTTAGGCAATTAACTAAATGTATATGTGTGCATTTTCTGAAATTATGAATTCAAACCTTATTTTACGTTAATACATATGAAAATTAACTTTGAATCAATTCAATAAATGCATGCAAGATGTTTGCGAAAAGGAAAATGTGCATGAAAAAGTCGCAATATCTCATTAAATTAATTAATTATATATATATACACACACACACACACACATCCAGTGCATTGTGAAAATGAGAGTTTTTCTATGAAAAAATCGCAGTATCTCGTTGAAGTAATTAACTAGATATATTGTGTGTTTTTGAAAATTAAAATATACGAATTCAAACCTCATTTTATTCTTGCATTCAATTCATATTTCTTTGAATAAATTCAATTGATGCTTCCAAAGTATTTACGAAAATGAAAATGTAAAAAAATGACATTATCGAAAAAAGTCGCATTATCTCAGTGGAGCAGTTAACTAGATACATACTCGTGTTTTTAAAAATTTAAATATACGAATTCAAACATTGTTTTAATCTCATATTCAATTCATATATGTTTGAATCGATTCAATTGATGCATCCAATGTTTTTGTGAAAATGTGAAAGTGAAAAAAATAATAGAATTAGACTTTTTTTTCTTTTAATTTTTGTTTTGACATTATTAGTTTTGGCCTATTTACAGGCTATTTTATTCACTCGTCAAGTGAGATTTTTGTTATCATTTCGAAGTATTCACGATAAACTTTGAAATACATCTTTCGAATTTAAAAATCGATAAATAATGAGTTTATGATAACAAATTACATTCATGCAAAATAATTTTCGTCATTTAAGCTTTATCCATAACATATTTATCATGGCTACATTGCAAGCTATCTAACATTTTAAATCGCTCCAGAAGGATAATCGTAGCAGAAAATATCGTATCACACGAAAACTTTTTAATAATAAAAAATTTAAAAAGTGCAAAACATGGGGAGTGCGGCCGTTTGTCTTTTGGAACGATTTTGCTGACTTTCAAGCGTTTTATATTTTTGGTGAACCTAATTAATACATTATTAACATTTTAATTTGGTTCACGTGTATTAATCAATTTCTTTGTTTTACTGTGTCTAATTTCCTCATAATGCAATTCTCAATTCAACCACCAAAAGGCCAAATTGAGGTCCAATGCCAATCTTCCATACAATTATAATTTTGAACAATAAATAACATCAAACGGTGCTTTGATTCTATATTTGGCGTGGTGGAAAAATTCCCCGTTACTGTTCTTTAGTGACATGTCGCTTGCATGGCCTTCCCTCCTCTATTGTCTCGGACAGTGATACTCACTTTCTTAACCATTTTTACGCAGTTTTTTCGTGATGTGTAACACACAATTTAATTCGATAGTGCGTAACATTCTTAGTCTAACGGTCAAATCGAAGTCGTTAATCAAGTTAGAAATTTTAAATCTCATTATTTAGCCCCTGTTTGGTAACCATTTTGTCAAAAATGAGGATACAATTTATGACCGTTTTATCTCTTAGTGGGCCCTAGTTGTGCAGCAACCTTTGATTTGACAGAAGGCTTTTTACGAAATTGCAATAACTCTCTCAAAAAGAATTTTATTTGAAAGGGTAAATTGGTAATTTAACCATATTCGGTCAACAAAAAACTGGTTCCCTTCTGACAATTACAATGTATAATAGTTGGAATTCATCTAAAAATGAGGTCAAAATGGTTACCGAACAAGATTTAAAAGAAAAAAAACTTTATTATGGTAAGAAAATCTTCAAAAGTAGGTCAATTTATTATACTAGAACGTTGAAATGGTAAAATAAAATTTATTATGGTAAGAAAATCTTAAGACTCAATGCAAAATAATTTTCGTCATTTAAACTTTATCCATAACATATTTATCATGGCTACATTGCAATCTATCTAACATTTTAAATCGCTCCAGAAGGATAATCGTAGCAGAAAATACCGTATCAAACGAAAACTTTTTAATAATAAAAAATTTAAAAAGTGCAAAACATGGGGAGTGCGGCCGTTTGTCTTTTGGAACGATTTTGCTGACTTTCAAGTGTTTCATATTTTTGGTGAACCTAATTAATACATTATTAAAATTTTAATTTGGTTCACGAATGTTAATCAATTTCTTTGTTTTACTGTGTCTAGTTTCCTCGTAATGCAATCCTCAATTCAACCACCAAAAGGCCCAATTGAGGTCCAATGCCAATCTTCCATATAATTATAATTTTGAACAATAAGGCACCGTTTGGTAACCATTATTCTAGAAAAAAATGCATTCTTTGTGTCAAATCACACCTTTTTTGTGGTTGAAAATGAAGGAAAAGTTATTGATGTGATGGAAAATATTATTTTATTGATGAATGAGTGGTTGAAAATTAGTAGAAGAATGAGAATGAAAAAAAGAATGGATACCAAACAGAGGCTAAATAACAACAAACGGTGCTTTGATTCTATATTTGGCGTGGTGGACAAATTCCCCGTTTTTGTTCTTTAGTGACATGTCGCTTGCATGGCCTTCCCTCCTCTATTGTCTCGGACAGTGATACTCACTTTCTTAACCATTTTTACGCAGTTTTTCGTGATGTGTAACACACAACTTAATTCGATAGTGCGTAACATTCTTAGTCTAACGGTCAAATCGAAGTCGTTAATCAAGTTAGAAATTTTAAATCTTATTATTTAGCCCCTGTTTGGTAACCATTTTGTCAAAAATGAGAATACAATTTATGACCGTTATATCTCTTAGTGGGACCCAGTTGTGAAGCAACCTTTGATTTGACAGGAGGCTTTTTACGAAATTGCAATAACTCTCTCAGAAAGAATTTTATTTGAAAGGGTAAATTGGTAATTGAACCATATTCGGTCAACAAAAAGCTGGTTCCCTTCTGACAATTACAATGTATAACGGTTGGAATTCATCTAAAAATGAGGTCAAAATGGTTACCGAACAAGATTTAAAAGAAAAAAAACTTTATTATGGTAAGAAAATCTTCAAACGTAGGTCAATTTATTATACTAGAACGTTGAAATGGTAAAATAAAATTTATTATGGTAAGAAAATCTTAAGACTCACTTATTCATCAACAAAAATACGTATATTTGGCAAATATTTTTTTTATTTAAAGTCCAAATTTATATTCATTTAATTTTGGAAAATTCAAATCAATATTTACTTAATATAACAAAGAAAATTCAACTAAAGAAGTGGACTCGGTTGTAAACATTAACTAAAAAATTACCCTAGGTAAAATTTTCTATTTACTTCATATTTTTACATCAACAAGATATGCATAAGAGTTTGTTGGCGTGGGGTTTGTTAAGTTAATGCATAATTAGAGCTACATCTAAACTCAAACGAGTGACCACTAACATCGTAAGAAACTCCAAGAATCCTATACAAACAAAATTTCTTAGAACCCAAAAAAAATAAAAATGAAAAGTTTAATCATAGAATTTCAATGAATTCCAGGCATTGGATTTTCAAAATGTATGATTCTTGATTATTTTTTTCATATGGGTTTTGTTCTTTGAATGCATATATACAAGTTTATGTTTTAAATGAATTCTCAATCAGTGAAACCCATGTTAGTTTCACGCTCAAATGCTTCTTGGAAGTCCGAAGATAGAACTTCCGGCCAGTTTCCGACAGGTCTCAGAGTACTTCTTGTGGATGATGACAACACTTGTCTCAAGATCGTGAGTAGCATACTTAAAAAGTGTGGCTATGAAGGTATATAAGTTTCGCAGACTTGTACGAGTTTTTGCTTATAGATAACTGATTATTTTTGGAGTTGCAGATTATTTTGTAGTTGAATTCTATATGTGGTTTTCTTGATTTTTTTCATTTATAAATTTGTAAATGGACCAATTAGGGGAAAGAAAGTTTATGGTGAACAGTGTGTAACATTAAAAATTATGGGCTCGAGGATTTTCAATTCTATGATAAAATATTAAAACAAAAATTGTAGAAATCAAGAAAAAAGATGGATTTTTATCTTATGCATAAACTCCAATGTATCAAATACTTGTTTTAGTTATGTAATCAAATGAAGATTTTGGATTCTACAAGGTAGGATTAAGCAAAAAACAAGTTAAATTTTTTATTATCTTATTGTACAATGTTGTGAACCAAACATGCCCATCTTCATTCATTACTTAACTGATTTAAATCTATTGGCGGATTTGCAGTAACCCAAAAATCTGATGCAGAGAGTGCGTTAGATTTACTCCGAAAAAACAAAAACGGGTATGATATTGTTATCAGTGATGTCCACATGCCGGACATGGATGGTTTCAAACTTCTCGAGCACATTGGCCTTGAGATGGACTTGCCCGTCATCAGTAAGCATTTTGTTTCAAATTTTGAGGAAAATGTTCAACCTTATAAGGATTAATGCTGTTCCATTTTGATACATATACTTTTGTGGTCACTTAGTGATGTCAGCGGACGATAGCAAAGATGTTGTTCTGAAGGGTGTTACTCATGGCGCGTGCGATTATCTCATCAAACCTATAAGCATCGAGGCATTGAAGAACATATGGCAGCATGTCGTTCGGAAAAAGAAGCAAGAGTTGAAGGAAAAGGATTTTGAATGCTCGGGAATTTCGGAAGATGGAGAACAGCAGCAAATATCACCTGAAAATTTTGATTATTCATCATCGGTAAATGAAGTGAATTATAAAAATTTGAAAAAAAGAAAGGACGAGGAGGATGATGAAGAAGAAAGAGATGATACATCTGCATTGAAGAAACCACGTGTCGTATGGTCAAACGATCTCCATCAGCAATTTGTAAATGCTGTTCATCAACTTGGAATAGAGAGTACGGATCCGCACTTTTACTCTTTTGGATATGCTCTATTATGTCTAATATTATGTACCAAATATGCTCAATTCATTCTTCCCACTTATATTTGTTTGCCTGTGTTCTCTTGATTAGTGTTATTTTCTTCGTATTTGTTTACTTCAGTTACACTTGAAAGTTCGAAAAGAATTTGATGCCCAACTTATCAAAGAATTTGGTAGTTTATATATAACTTTGCACCATTCCAAAATGCATTCTGTTTATATAAGAAAATTTCAAAAAAAGGTATATATTTTATATTCTTAGGACCTGAAGAAAAAAATAGTTCATCAAGTTATGTTGTTGTCATATTTAATAGTTTCTAGAATAATGTTGCATCATTTTCAAATTTGTGCGTTCACGAAATATTGGTTATGCTCTCGTTTAACACCTTGCAATTAATATCATTTGTCAGTTCGTTTTATTTTCGCCAAGTTATGTCCTTGATATTTTTTTATCACATATGAAATTAAAACATTTTGCACCTACTTTTCTAAATTTAATGAAAAAGTGTAGTTAATTTTGCCTATTGGCAGCCTTCCTATAATCATAAACATGTATTTCTTATGCTGGCAACTCTCTGATTTAAGTGAAATGCTGCTAAGAAAATTCTGATTAAAGAATTTTCTGTTTTGTGCATGATTTTGTTTGTCCAATACTTCTAAGTATGTGCATGAACGCAGAGGCTGTTCCTAAGAAAATTCTGGAATTGATGAATGTTCCCGGGCTAACAAGAGAGAAAGTTGCAAGCCATCTTCAGGTTAGGAGAACATTTTCTTTTATCGTTCCCGACGCAGTGTTTCTGCTCGATATAAGTTAATGTTGCATTTGCGTGCTTCTAACTGTTTCTTAGCATATGTTCTATTTCCTTCTCTTCAAAGATTCTAACAGAAGCATATATTTGATGCAGAAGTTTCGACTGTATCTTCGAAAGGCATCGCAGCACCAGAGTGGACGTAATAACGCTTTTATGGGAGCCCCAGAAGCATCCTTTGGACCAATGTCTTTGATGAATGGCCGCAATCGTCAACCTCTTACTGCCACTGGTCAAATCCCGTCTCGAAGCCTCGCTACATTTCAGGCCGCAGCACTCAGTAGGCCTACTGCCACATATGTGCCCATTGTTGATCAAAGAAATATTTTCAGATTTGAAACTCCAAAGTTAACGTCTGAGGACGACCAGCAACAGCTGAAAAATAACGTTAAGCAAATGAACTTATTTCATGGAATTTCGAGTAGTATGAAACCAAAGCAGTTTGCTACTTTGCATCCTTTTGCTCAGTCCTCTGGGGACATGAATATGGAAGCCGACTACTCGGCACAGATGGATCAACCGCAGCAGATGACTCAAATATTCAATGATATTAACGGCGGTAATGTCTCCAGCTTTGAATCATCTGTAGGTCAACCTAATTTTATAAAGGTGATCCCAAGTGGTGTTCATGGACCAACATACAATTCACTTTACCAGCCTTCTACACCGCCTGGCAATAGTTTTCCTCTTTTGAGTAATTCTGGGATGTCAACCCTCACCTCTAAAGGAATGCTGCAAGAAGAGGTTAATTCGGAAATGCAACAGTCGAGAGGTTTCGTTTCCAATTATGATGTTCTTGGTGGACTTGGTAAAAACACCGTACAAATGGTTAACTCGTCACTAGCTGATAATTTCCTAAGGATCGAGGGCGAAAGACAGCCCGATACGGGCGTCCAAAATAATCCATTTCCCAGACAACTAAGCGAGGAGGATCTCTTTACTGCATTTTTCAAACAGGTTAGCTTATTGCACACTGATTGTGAAAGTGACTCTTACCTTACAATCAAAATAAGTAACTCATGTAACTTTAGCCCAAAAAAATTACTTATTTTAGAATTTGGGCAAACATACTGAACTGATACAATTCTTTCTTCATTTATTGCAGTCAGAATTCTCAGAACCAGTCGAAAATGACTTTAACTTTGACGGATACCAGCCGAACAATCTTCCTCTCTAATAAAGCTTGTATGCTCCAGCTTTCTGCTTTTGAGAACATGTACATAGTTGCAGTTACAGCGGAAATTGACCTCTCGGGATCATAGTTGGGAGTTTCAATTTTAAGAACTGCGTCTAGATGCAGGATTTTGGTATTTCTTTTGCTGCATTATGCACACATCTTTTCAAATAAATAACTTAAATGCATGATATGCAACAATGTTGACTGCTTTAAGGTAGGTAATGTAGCGAGAAAATAATCTTAGAATCGCTTATGAAGTTGTCTTGTTTTCGTTGAAATCAAAAATAGATTAGTTTAGTCCAATTCAATATATCAAACATACCTTTAATGTTAACACATCTCGATTAATTTAAATTTATTGGTAGTCGTCGCTTTAGCAGTTAAGCACAATAGTGTGCATTGTGACTCTGTCCTGCTTTTAAGTTCCATGAAAAGGTCGGGGCAGTCCAAGGACGAAGTCTCGGTCGAGGCTAAACCGTTTTTGTAGCGGGCTAAGTCAAACCCGATTCTTCACTTTCATGCGAGGCCTCCCAAAGGGACGTCAAGTCCGGCGAGTTTTGACCCCACTAAGGCACTAACTCTTTCACAAATGCTAGACAGATATAAAATGCACAAGGCACAACTCTCGATATGCAGTGTACACCGTTTCCATTATGCTATGAAAGTCAAAAAAAAACAATGTTCCACACGTCCATGTTTCCACGCCTCGAATTCGTCAAGAAATATACTATATTTTATGTTTCGAGAAATTGCATTTTAGTCCTCAACTTATTGCACCAGCAGCAAGTTAGCCATCAACCTTGAGAAAAATAGAAGTTAATCTTCAATCTTACGTTATATTTATAGAAGAAATGCGTAATGAATTGAAACCATTTACATATTTCTTAAATAATCACACGGCCCACATGAAAACATGTTTCAATTAATATTTCTAGACACAAGCCCAAGTTGTGATGCTAACCTAGCGTCATGAAATCAAAGAGATAGTGGGTGCATGGCGGGTTAACATTTTTAAGTAGTTTTGTTATGTCGAAATTTATAATCATGACATGTAGATAGATGAAGAGATAATTTTAATGGATTATGGAGAGGGAAATGTCAAATGTACAGTCATTTACACAGTCTACACACATGAGATGGGGCCCACAAAAATGTGGATTGTGGGCCCCATCCCATGTGTGTAGACGGTGTAAATGACTGTACAATTTGGCTGTAAATATAGCAAGGTCCTTATGGAGAATTGTTTTACAAAAGCAAGCTCTTAAGCCGTTAAAGATGGTTGAAAGTGAATGTGCTCAAAGTGTTTGTGGGTGATTTTGGTATAGCTTTGTATGATCGCTAAAGATGATTTGAAAGTGGTAAATAAGCCAACTTAATAGAGATGGAAGACGTGCAATGTCCATTACCTTCCTTTCTCTCCATGTTCGCAATGGCATACATGATAAGTCTTTTATTCAAAACCATTTCAAGTAACTACTATTGTCAAAATCAGGTCTCAAAATTTTAGGAATGATGTCATTGTGTTGATAAGCCCATGCTTCCTCCCTACCTTCTATTGGATTTAAGAAAATACTTGACCTTAGTAAATTTCAAAGGAATTGAATCTTGTTGAATCTAGAATTACAATAACATTGGTAGATTTCTTTCAAGTATTTTGATTCTGCTTCTAAAGGCTATTTTTGCATATTTTTTTGTCGTCCAACCTCTTTTGTATTGAGTGTCCATTTGATGAGAACACTTGTCAAGAAATTATTTACTTCATCTACCAAAATTAATCTTCCGCCTAGAAAAGAACACAATAGTAACACTTGCGGCTCTATGATCTTGACAAGCATTAGAATTACCAACAAGTGGATGATCCCCACCAAGTTAATATTACTCGGCTTGCCATATTTGCTCCATGCAAAGACTACGTAGTGAAGGACGCTACAACTACAATTATCAAAGACAGATTGTGTAATTATAATAAAATACTAGAGACCAATTTGCTATTGAAGCAATAAGTCAGTGACTCGCGATGCAATTTTCCCCAACATGTTTTATATTTTTATTTATTCTTTCTACTATAGGTAAACTTTAAAAGTAACATCTCTGTTTGTTTCGGATTAAAATCAGATTTTAATTTAAGTTAAAGTCAAACAATCAATATTAATCATATCTTTTATGGGCCCCACAACTTTTCAACCACATATTTCAAAAACTTCTATCACAATCTACTAAAAATTTAATTTTAATCCACAATGTTGGGGCAAACAAGTCCCACATCGATTGTGGGAAGAAATAAAATCCACCATATAACCCAAGTGGGCTACTCCACCAATAACCAATTGGTTTTGGGATGGAACCTCACTTGGACCTGGTGGTGTGGGTTTGGGCCTTGGGTAATTGCTCTCAATAATTCCCTACAAGTGGTATCAGAGCCCAGGTTGTGTGGCTAGATAAATCGAGGTGGTGAAAAATTCTCATGAGATGGTAGATCCATGGTAACGTAGTGGGTGCAGGCTACGATGGATTATCTCGATGAGTGGCGATTTACCTCGTGAGCCTTGTTTGAGGGAGGGATTGTTGGGGCAAACAAGTCCCACATCGGTTGTGGGAAGAAAATAAATCCACCATATAACCCAAGTGGGCTACTCCACCCATTACCAATTGGTTTTGGGATGGAACCTCACTTGGACCTGGTGGTGTGGGTTTGGGCCTTGGGTAATTGCTCTCAATAATTCCCTACACACAACGAACACCAACTAAAGTTAAAAATGTAAAATTTGTGTCGGTAAACAAAAATGCTATACTAATTTCTTCTCCCGCTCTCCACTCACCTACATTCTTTATCACCTCTCTGCTACTGTAATTTCTCTCTCTCTCTCTCTCACTCTCTCTCTCTCATATACACAATTTCTCTCTCCCGTTTCCTGATTCTTGAATTATTTTCTTAATTCTCACAAAAAATCTTTCAAAATTCTGTCTCTGAATTCATACATTTTTTGTGGGATTTAAGGAATGGAGAAAATTCAGACACTGAAATTGTCTGTTCTCTCTGTTTTCGTGATGTTAATAGCTTCTAAAAATGAGTTGGTGGTGGCTGCGAATTCTACATGGGTGGGATCCAAGTACCAAATTGAATGCACAATGTGTTCTGCCTGTGATAATCCGTGCAACACTCCATCACCACCGCCGCCTGTGCCACCATCTCCACCACCACCCTCACCTTCACCGCCGCCGCCATCATATACACCACCTTCTACCTCTATCAACTGCCCTCCACCACCGTCTCCTCCTAGCTCAGGCAACTACTACTACTCGCCACCACCACCTTCAGCTCCTGGTGGCACCACTGGATATTACTACCCTCCACCCTACAATAGCTACCCTTCAGGGCCTACGCCACCGCCTCCAAATCCAATTGTACCCTACTTTCCTTACTACTACCATGCTCCACCGCCCCCTTCATCTTCTCCGCCGCTAAAACATTCATTTTCTTTCTTAATCACTGTGTTTATGTTTTACTCTCTTTTATAATCAAGAAAATCCCTTTAGCTTTCTTGATAGCAGGAAAAATCGAAGAAAATGAGAATAAATTGTCAGATTCACAGAATGTTTCTCCACCAAATTCAGGGGATGAGTGCATTTTCTGATTTCCAGATTTATTGTGTTTAAAAGCAACTTTCTCGGCTGAAAAGGCGATTTTTAAGCACAAGCATACCACCTACAATTCCCCAGAAGAAAAATTGAAGATGATGCTGCCTCAAGCAGTGGAGTATTCTGTAAATTCTTGATAATTCTCTCTCTTTTTTTTCTATATTTTTCCTGTCTATTATGTTAGAATGCACGAAATTTATCAGTTTTACATAATTATGAAGTGTCAATTTCTAATTATTTAAACATCCCTTTCTCTATCTATGTTTGTTAATAATTAATTTAAATTATGATCAGTTTGTCTGCTTATTGTTACTTTGAATTTATTTCATACTACTAGCATTAATTATCTGTTCAACTACCTATACTGGCTTCAATTTATTGTTAATATCGAGACGTTGAATGTGAACCTATTGCAATCCGTTTACACTAGTGGAGCTTGGACCGTCTGTTAAAAATTCGCACGCATTTGCTACACAAACATAATGCTTGACATAGGGGATGACACAATACACACATGGGGAGGTCGACATTATTTAATTTAGGTCGGGATCCACATGCAATATGAGAGGTCGGTCAACTCCCGTGTCAAGCATTATGTTCATTTAACTTAATTATAGTAATATTATATCTATGGATTTAGTTACAACTTGTTACTTTTCTGGCAACGTTGATCTTCGATGATGGATGTGTTACATGTGTATGTGAAGCTAATAGAAGAACCTAGAAAAGTGCATTAATCTTTTAAGCGTGGAGTCGCTCAATTGGTCCCTTCCCACTTGCTTATATTCCACTTTATCTATACACTGTATAATAGTACTACAAATGTGAAGCTAGTAGCTTTCTAAAAGAATGCATGTTCTTACGAACTTGAATAGTAATACGGTATGTTGCGACGGAGAGTTCTACATTGCACACGATGTTTATATATCGTGGTGTTGGATGAATAAATAGAACATCTAATTTAACGAGCACATCGACATGTACATGTGTTCATGTCTTATGTTTTCGATTGACAAGATAGATTAGATGATATTATGCAATAACCTAAAAGAAAGAGACTTCAAAATCTTGATTACAATACTACATTATCGAATCTATCGCTGTGTATTTAACGTGCGATTAAGTCACAGTGGCATGATAGCGTACTCTTGCATGAATAACATGGCATCTATATGGACGGAGGCATTAATAGACGAGCTTTACTTGTCGAACATCTATGACCAAACTCATATGGTTTGTTCATTAACATTAGACATAGTCGTCTATTATACTGTACAATCCCGTCTAATATATAGTATGTAATCATGCTCTTAAAGTCTAGCAGTGGGAAATGGTTGAATCCATTGGCAAAGTGCAGTGTAGTATGTCTGTCTATATTTGCATTTACATTGTGGGGATGATAGGTAAATTATTGTGGTGTGTGAAATTATTAGAAGGGACAATGAGGTACGTGGGTGTTAGCTAGCTGGATGCCAAACTTTTTGTGGGGGTCCTATTAATTTGACAAAAGGTGTCGATATGAAGAAAAGACACTTTTGGGTGCTTAAATTTTGGCTGTTTTTGGGATTTTTAGTGGAGAAGTTATCATGGAATGTAACCTCCAGTTGAACGTTGGAATAAAGACGTTGTGAGATGTCACGGGATTGACTATTTTCTTGCTTTTTTCTCCAGTTGAAGTGTTGAACGTTGGAATAAAAAATATTTTATATGTAAATCCAAAATTATTTTTGTCTACATTTTTTTTTTCAATTTTGCTAAATGTTCAGTCCCCCTTCACAGTGAGTTTCACAGTGGGTCATACCTCCATGTGAGTGGACGGTCAAGGAAGGTGTGAAGAAGGACGGTAAGTGTAACATTGTCCTTTTTCTATCAACATTAAAACATAAATAAAATAAAGAAGTGTTTAATACTCCAAAAACAAAAACAGAACAGTTCTCTCCAATAGAAATTTCTCTTTCCTTTAACTGCTTGAATAATTAAGGAATCATCACGTTTAACAGAACCTTTACATCTAAACAGGGCTCTTGACATCCTTTTTTCTGCCACATAAACATGTCGGGATCACGATCAGATTTGATTAGAACTAAGATTGTCTATTTTAAAGACAATTTTTTTAAGTATTGTTGGAGATGCTCTTAGAAAGCCAATCCCACACATCTTGCATCTGGAACCTGACCGATCTAATCCTCTCCATACATCTAGAATTTGCACAAAATCGAAGATTGGAACATTGAGAAGTCAGTCAATTTGCTGCATTCACTTGTTGTATCTTGGAAAAGCTTCGAACAATGCTAGAGACGTTTACAAGTTGATAATGACAAAAATTCATATCGTTCGAACTTGAAATTTGGTTAGCTTGACTTGTTTGATCTGTTTTCGTAAATCATTTGTAACTAAACGACTCATCGGAATCTGTTTTGTACTTCAAATTCAATTGCAAAAAATCCCATCACGCCCCTAAATACGGGAACCTGGAAACGATTTCATAGCCATAAATTTGAGGGGAGAGTTCATCATCTAACCAAGACAGACATGAGACTAGAATTCAACTCTTGCTATCATTTCCCACAATAGCAGTAGGCAGTTAAAGATCATTGACATACGAACTTAGCAACAGGATAACAATACAAGAAGACTCGGACGACAATCAAGGCATACAAATTGAAGACACTTGCATTTTTTTTGGTAAAAAGGACCTTGTTCGATCCACAGTAATTTCCTCATGACCTTCCCCTAACTACACGACCATACAGGGGAATGAACTAAACAAGACCCTGACCAACCCATCTCCATCAACAAAAAAAACCCCACCCCACCCACCCAACCAACCCAAATGCCCATCCCCATTTATTGACCACCATAGCATAAGAGAACAACCCGACTGGGCACCTCCTCGACCACAACAGTCTGAACTGGACTAGCAGACTCAGTAAGGTGCTCTGACCAGACCTGACTTGACCTTGACCCCGACACGCCACTTAACTCGACCTGAAGAACTTCCCCCATCAACCTAACTGAATGACCTGAAAATTATCAGGGAATTAGTCCTCAGAAATCTTACTGCAGGAAACGACATTGCTTTGGGATATCAACAGCCAATGACCTCAAATCGTGCATATCAATGTTTGCCAGTACTCCAAATTACCCAATGAAAATGATCAAGAGCATGTTGGCTAAGCTTAAAAGAGTGAAGTAACTTTTTGCCAAATATGTTTAAATAGGTTACCATTTCTTACTATGAGTAAAAAAGTTGCTTATTTCTAAAATAACCCTTACCTTAATTGTCAAAAGAGCATGCTTGGGGTGGCTTATAAGCCCAAGTAATTAGCTTATTTGGAAAACATGATCTAAGTAACTTGATAATTTCCAACTTCGAAAAAATAATATATATAAATATATCTCAAAACTTGCTGATTTACTTTATGACTTTCGAAACTTAGCCAAATATGCTCTAAATATAATTATGTATAAATGAGAGGGGAGGGAGAGATCAAATAGACCAGAATACGAACCTTCAGCTAAAACTGAATCCACCAGGTGGAAGTTGAACATTGTTTTCTCCAAAGTTGAATCCAGATTGGGCCCCATCAGCCACAGGTAGTGATTCATCCTCCTCTTCCAGCCAATATGTCTCCAGTATTTTCACGGACTTTTCATAAATTTCATTGTTGTCATGGCTCTGCAGGTTTTCGATCTTTTCTAAGCCCTCAGCATCATCAATCAACTGGGCAAAATAATTTACATCTCCAGTGTTGCTCTTTTCTGCTTCCCCAACTTTCAATATGTTTTCAAGTCCTTCTAGACAAACAGTGACAATCCTTGGATCAGGGCATACAAGAAGATCGCACAAAGGCTTTATACAATTCTGAGAGACCAAGTACCTACAAACGACAGGGCAGTATTTGGAGTCGAACAAACAGAGGCAAAGTTTCTGATCAATCTATGAAAAAATACAGGAAAATAGTTACTTGATTTGCTCATTGGTTCCACCAGAAGTGGCATTTGAAATAGCCCATGCAGCCTCTTTCTTTATCTCAAATTCAGCAGTCTGAAGCAGAGTGACTACAGGACTTATTAAGCCAGCTTCAAGTACAGCCTATCAATCAAAAGAATATTTGATTATTCGTAAGTATGATCAATACAGGTGCCACAGGACTCAAGGCACCAACACATGAGCATCCAATGGATAGCAATGAGCAAGTCACCAAATAAAGATTTAAGAAAAATCATGTTCTATGGTCGTTGACACCTTCCAACAAAATAAAGCAAAAAGTGTTATAGAATGCTTAGCCTGCAGTTACATGGGGGGAGGAAAATTCGAGAGATAACACAATATAATTATTATCATCATTATTTCATGTCAAAACAAAAGAAAGATGTTCTCAATCTATAACCAGAAGTAAATTTAATGAGACATTTATAATTTTTCCGAAAAATAAAAAAATAAAAAAGTTAGAAGAATCCAATAATTAAGATCAGAAACCTTGAAATTCTAAGCTTTCAGATACTTACCTGTATCTGTTCTCTATTTCCAGCAGTAATATTTGAAATTGCCCAGCAGGCTTCTTTCTTAATACTCTTTTTATGGTGGTGAGTCAAGAGGCTTGACAGGCAAGGAAGTGCACCATGATCAATTATACACTGGGGCAAAACGATTGTACAAGTCAATGAGTTTTTCATTTTCCAACTTTCTTAAAAATGATCATAATTTCTTTACATACTGAACATGCAACATAGCAAGTACCATTAGGCAAGTTAACAAGTACTACACAAAGCAATAACTATTTTCAACAAATTAACAGTTAAAACTCATACCTGAGTTTGAAGATCGTCTCCCGTCACAATATTTCCTACTGTGCGAAGTGCGGGAATCAGAACAGAAGGAGACGGGTGGCTGAAACACATAAATATATAAGTGCTTCAAAATTCAACAAATTAGAGTAAAGGTTAGTGTTCAACAAATGTGAAAATGACACTCACAGGAGGAGCTCAACGAGACGTGGGCAGACACCTGCCTCAATCACTGCTTGAATTTTGTCATTTGTCCCATCAGAGAGGTATGAGAGAGCCCAGCATGCATCCGTAAGCACCTCTTCATCATTTGAGTGAACAAGATGCTTAAGGGCTGGAAGGGCTGCTCGTACCTAACGATCCAAAAGAAGAGATTACGTATTAAATAAGCAGAAGTTTCTCAAGGAAGAAACAACACAAAGCCACGGCTAACCTGCTCAAATGGAGGCTGTGGTTTTCCTCTGCAGAAGTTCGACAGTGTCCATGTTGCATTTCTCAGCATTGAAAGCTTGGCTTGCTCATTCAGCTGAGCTAGCAAAGGAATCAAAGCCCCATGCCCAAGGACAAGGTCACGACATCTAGGAGAGTCACCAGCAACATTACCTAATGCCCAAACGGCCTACCATTAAGAAGGAAAAAAAAGACAGATATTCAGTTAGCCAACTTTATCATCCATTATGGAAGAGAGTAGCTGAAAAATATGACTTCGTATATTCAAAATGCGTCAAAGATCTAAACCAATTACCTGCTCACGAACATCATCACTCTGGGAACCTAGAAGCTTTACAAAAATTGGGACTGCGCCATGATCAATAACCACTCTGGTGTTCTCCGAGGTTCCAGACGCAATGTTTGTAAGCGCCCAAGCAGCCTCAAACTATACAAAGAGAACAAAAACACACTATAATAATAAACCAACCATGTAATGAATGAAATAAAATCAGCTGATACGACTAAAAACCTGGAGCTGGGGGAAATCCTCCCTTGTAAGGAACTCAACAAAGCGTGGAACAACACCGGACTGTATTACTTCCTCAATAGGAGGGCTTCTTTCTGTTAATTTGATCCAGACAGACAAAACAAGTAGTGGTCATGAAATCATTGAAGGAAAAAGTACGGAGTAAAATGATACCACAAGTCACACCTATTGAAAGCAATTTACGAAACTGAGTAGTTGCTTCCAGCTGCAAATTGTTATCATTTGACCAAATCCCAGCAATCATAGAAGGAAGACTCTCCAGCTGCAAACCAATCAAACCATTAATCACTATTCAGACAACAACATTATTCAACTCCTATTAATCAAAATAGAAAATCGAAAAGCATTTTCCCCAATCAATCACCAATAGTTAACATAAACCCATATAATAGTCTAACAACCTGCTCTAGCCTTCATTTTGACCGGAAAGCTCAAAACTTCCTATCAAATAGTAAACAGTAAAATCTATAATAATAAAAATTCGTCGGCCCCCATCAATCCCCAACAGTTAAACCTAAACTAGACCAAACCTTTCAAGGAACTCAATTTCCAATCCATCAATCACCAGTGGTATTCTAACAAGCATGCTCTAGCCGTCAAAACTTCACTCAGTATTTGTAAAAAATACAATCTATGATCACTTATAAATTCTACTACACACACGCACATACAGATATTGTACTAATATTCGCATAGTTGATATAAAAACCAAAACTTAAACAAGAAAAACCTTCTTCTCAACCGCAGACTGGAGAGAAATTGAGGACTGCTGCTGTTGCTGTAGTTGAAGTCCTTCTCGGCGCTTTTTGAGTAAGCTCTCCTCGCGCTTGCTCTTGCGGATCTCCACCATATTGTCCTCCCTCCGCCTCCGCCCTTCCTCCGCATCCACCGCCACCTTGTACCTGTTCCGCCGCACCTCCGTCCTTGCACTTGGCCTCAACGACATCGTTTCTTTTGTCTAAAGTATTTTCGCCTTTTGAATCAAAACCCTAGCAAATCAAATAAATATACATCATTCAAAACTTCAATTGATCAATTATTAATCTACAAACGAGTAAAAAAATTCCCTGAATACACTCATACCTAAGAGAAGGGACAGAGAGAAAATAAAGAAAGATGGCAGAAGGTTTCCTTAAAGCGGAAGTCCTCGAAAAGACCTTTCTTGAAAATGTTCAAAGAAAATAGAGAACAAATCAAGCCCTCAATTTAGTAACCATTTGAGCCAAAGACTAGAGGTTTAAGCATGTCTGGCTAAGGGCTAAAATAAAAGTGTATTTATTATAAGCAACTTATAATTGAGCTTTATTAAGTTACTTTTTGCCCCCAAACATGTTAGAATTTTTCCCTTTGAAGAATTCTTTTTTCATTTTTAATTGTAGTACCAAAATTTGATAGAAGTTAAACATGACCATCATTCTTACTTTTCAAAAAATTACATTCCCCTATTTTTCAGCATAGCTAAGATGCTCTAAGACTGATTACGAACCGTTGAAAAAGTCCGTGCAAAAATTCTTAATCTACTAGATATGGAGATTGTCTTGTTTCTATAAGAAATTAAGGCCTAAAAGAAACTTTAATTTTGAACATGTGGTGTCATAACCATGCTATGAATTTATTTATGTGGACTGAAAGATGAATATATGGTTGCGGTTAGATGAAGTTGGTGATTCTCGAGTTTCATTGCGATTGCTAAAAACAATATTGATATCAGTAGTTGGCTTTCTTGGTGGTTTTGTTGAAGACTTGAAGATAATACTTAAACGATTCACGCTTTGTTATGTCTAACAATTTAAACTTTTAAATCGAGTGATTCAACATAGTATCAAAGCAAACAAAGTTATAGGTTAAAGTATTGTCATCATCCATTGAATTTTCCATGTGTTGGGTTTGATGAGTAAAATGAATAAATTTTGCCTATATATAAGGGGTGTGTTGAAAATAATATTTAAATTATGTACATTTCACATTATCAAACAACTCAAGTCACAACGAGACGGATAGGATGGAGCAAGTGAATCCTCGTGATTTGAGGAAGATACACAAACTGGCTATGGCCGAGAAGATTTAATATTTCGTCGAATAAGAAACTATTGGGGAAGTGCGTATAAAAATCACTTGTTGGCGGGACACAAAGACAATTTTTAATTTAGAGAAAATATATTTTGAAATAAAACTTCAATTATATTTGATGGCAGCTGTAAAGATGACGATGCCAATCACTTGCAACAATTTTAACAAAATGACAAATAATAGTACAATAGAGACCACATGGGTTTTTATAATTCAAGTTAGTTAAAGATGAATTAAATTAAAAATATTGGAAAAAGTAGAAAAATCCTTTTAGTTTATGGAGATTTGATGAGTCCGAAATTATAAAGAATTAATCTAGTGCCAGAGGGGGGTTACCTAATGGTTTACCCCCTCTCACAAAAAGCGCGGTCCCCACATGTATTTAAAAAATTCGACTTGTGGTCCACATCCCCTAATGTGAGTGGAGTGTAAAAGAATTGGTAAAAAAATTCGGTAAGTGTAACATAATTTTTTTTCAAACAATACTTTACTGTAATCCAATAACCAAACTCGACCTTAGTTGTTTAATTGTGGTCAATCATATGACTTGGAATGAGTTACGACTCTCGAATAAGGTCGAATTGATTTTTGCAAGACTTGATCTTTACATGGCGGAAGTGGCCTTCGTCTGGACCATCTCTTTAATTGTGGAATCTTGTGATATTTCACCATACAATTCCAAATCTCCAATCCATGCTAACCAATAGAAAATCAATTCTTTTACTTTGAAATTGGCCCAAAAATGACTGGAAAAATATTTAGCCCACCCAAAAAGGTCTTACATTTAGCCCAATAATAAATGTTAGCTCACTCAAAAATGCGATTTTAGTTTCAAGGAAGAAGAATATTTCGACAGTTAGGGCTGGGCATTTAGACATACGAAAATTATTGACCCAAATTGT